GAACCGCTGAACTGCAGATAACAGTCAGCTGAAGTGGCCTGCAGTACTGCACCCTAACCACTGTGCCACCTCGGCTCTTATTAGGGGGTTGGATTGATGCCGCCAAACATGACCCCATGTTCCTTCCCCGTAGGGCCTGCGGTGGTGTAGTTGGAGTAGTGGATGTCCCCTATCTGGTTCTGGAACCCACGCACAACAAGCAGGATTTTGCCGATGCGAAAGAATACCGGCACTTGTTAAAAGCAATGGGAGAGCACTTGGCTCAGTATTGGAAGGACATTGAGATCGGTAAGAAGTCATGAGGGTGGGGAGTGGGGGGGAGTTGGGGGGGAGGAAAGGAGGAAGAATAATGGGAAGGAAGCTCTAGGAACCATGGAGACATTGATCGTTCATTTGAAAAAGACATATTGTATTTTTTTAAAATTCAAAAAAAACATCCAGCTCAGAAAGGCATCAGCAAGTTCTGGGATGATTTTGGCTACCTCTCTGCCAACTGGAATCAGCCGCCATCAAACGAATTGCGTTACAAAAGGCGGAGAGCCATGGAGATCCCAACCACTATTCAGTGTGGTAAGTGGTGAATTGAAATATTCCTCTATTCTGGGGTCCAAACGCAGCAAAAGCCAGCGGTCACAGCCAAAGAGCAGAAATCGCATTAGCACATAGATTTATATGCTGCTTCGCAGTGCTTTTCCAGCCCTCTCTAAGTGGTTTACAGAGTCAGCCTCTTGCCCCCAACATTCTGGGTCCTCATTTTGCCCACCTCGGAAGGACGGAAGGCTTAAGTCAACTTTGAGCCGGTCAGGATCAAACTAGTGGCAGTCGGCAGAAATAGCTTGCAATACTACATTCTAACCACTGTGTCACAAGGAAGGAGAATGAGAAAGGGAAGAAGAGAGAGGGAGGGAAGGAAGGAATAGCATTAGCACATAGATTTATATGCCGCTTCACAGTGTTTTTCCAGCCCTCTCTAAGCNAGTGTGATTCAGTTCGGTAAATCGGCCAAACGATCCCCGGAATCCACCCAGATTGGACAATACGGAAATGGCTTAAAATCGTAGGTATATGGAGTCCGGTCTCCCAAATACTTTTTTTGTTTCATTGAAATGCTAAAAAGAAAAAGAAAAATTACTTACTGAATGAAAGTAAGCACAATGGAAAGAGTATTATCTGTATCTTCAAGTTAAATTGAAAAACCCGGTGTCTTTATAGTCAGATTCCATTCTTCTCAGAAGCTTGCACTTTTCTGAATTTTTGCTTTAGCCCTCTCCAGATTTTCAGCTAATTCAACACAGTAAGCTTGTCCCCTGCCGTGTCATTTTCCATATCTCCCGGCAGAATTGATTTTGATATTCCATAAGCTGGACTCTTTTTCTGCAGAGGTTCCATGCGGATCGGCAAGGATTTCATCCTCTTTACGAAGAAGGAAAACAGCATGACGTGTCTCTTCTTGTCCCGCACCTTTCACGAAGAGGAAGGCATTGACGAGGTTGGCAAGACGTTCGCCTTGATAAAATAGAGAACGCTCTGGTTTCTGCAAAACCATCGAAGTAGAATGAATTCTAAAGCAATGTTTGTTTTGTTTTGGTTTTTTTTTTGAAAAAAATCTGCAGGTGATTGTTCCGCTGCCCACCTGGAATGCCCGCACCAGAGAGCCTTTGACAGATAACATGGAAAAGTTTTCCATCGAGACAGAATTGATTTACAAGTATTCTCCTTTCAAATCGGAGCGGGAAGTGATGCAACAGTTTGACAAGATTTTTGGAGAGAAAGGTAGCGTATTTTTAGCACACTTTACGGTATAGTATGTGAATGTTTCAACACTGGAAGTTCTTAAGAAGACGGTGAATAACCATTTTTCTGAAGCGGTGTAGTGTTTCCTGCCGAAGCAGGGGGGTTGGACTAGAAGACCTCCAAGGTCCCTTCCAACTCTTATCATTCTATTTCTATTCAGCACAGAAAATTGAGCACAGAAAACCCAATTTTTTTATCTTAAGTGAAACAACTGTTATTCTTTAAAAAAAAAAAGTATTCTTTGAAATCAAGTTTTCAACCTAGCATGTTTTCACGATAGACCCAGTGTGCATGTGTCTGCCTATTAAAAGGAAGAGACTGCGCACACGAGAGAGGATTAATGGTACTGTGTGTCTCTTACTCCAGGGACCTTGGTGATCGTCTTCAACCTCAAATTGATGGACAATGGTGAACCCGAGCTAGACGTGACCTCTGATCCCCGAGATATCCAGATGGCTGAAACTCCACCCGAGGGAACGTAGGTTTGATAGCCTCCGCAGTCTTAAGCTCCCCTTTTATTTGGTCTTTAATCAAGGATAACATAATTTGCATGCTGTTAATCACTCAGTTTGCAGACGATGAATTTGGTAGGATGAGAGAACATTTTTAGGATGATGTGCGCTCTCCTCCCTCCCTCCCTCTGTCTCTCTGTCTGTCTCTCTCTTCTCTTTGATCTGTAAGCCTGTGTTCCATTTCAGGAAACCTGAACGTCGTTCTTTCCGTGCATACGCTGCTGTGCTCTACATCGATCCCAGAATGCGGATCTTCATCCATGGCCACAAAGTTCAAACCAAACGCCTCTCCTGCTGCTTATACAAGCCTAGGTATGATGCATAGCCCATTCTCTTGCAGCCAGCGAGTTCTCTTCAGATGTCAAAACAAACTTGAGTTGCTATATTGCTATTTCAGTCGAATGTCAACCGAAATTCCCTTTCGGTTTAGCCAATCCTTCAGGCCTTGCCTCGTCTCCTCTCATCACAACATACTTCGGATTTTAGCTTGCATTCATCATCTGATTCTTTCATCAACATGCAAGATGTTACGATTATTTTTGATTTATCAGTTTGAGCCTTCTCCTTTTACAAGTCGCGCGAGCCTGCACGAAATTTGGTACCCGGTATATCTCCACTCTTGCCCTGGTGTGGCATTTGCACAGTTTTGGCCCACAGATTAAAGAGAAATGGAAATGCTTTGTGAAAGACTTGCAACAAAACGAACAGATGCCTATTGCGGTCATTAACCAGCAGAAAGAAAGAAGAAAAGAAAAGAAAAACATTTTTTAAATATCCTGAAGATCCGAAAAATATTAAAGGCTTCATTCTTCTTAGTTAATATCTAACTTGTGGAATTATGGAGCCTTCTGACTGATCTGAGAAAAATATATTACAGTAGCTGACGATAAAAAAAAAAAGTCACTTTGCTGAGGCAAAGCCATTCCCTAATCAGAACAAGTTCAATGGCTCTTAATATTCATTGTCTAATTTTATGTAGCACAACACAAAACCTGGCAATCTTATATTCAAAATGTAAAAATCACTTGCCGTGCTGGTCATTACAGCATATCCTGTTTTACTTGCCAGGAGTGGCACAATTAGAGCATTTCGGGATGGGCCACCATCTTTTTGCATGCTTCCCAATCGGCTTCCGACAAGCAGCGTTAATGGAGAATGTGGAAGTAAAATAGCAAGTTCTAACCACTTGCGATGTCTTACAACCACGGTGATTTATTTAGCCGAATGAGAAGTAACCTTGTTGTCGTCACGAGATTTTCTGCGTGGTGTCTGTGGCACTTAACAGTGGAGTTGCAAGGCAGGGTGCAGGGCAACCAAAGGGGCAGAGATAGGGGGAGAACAGGTAGTTAGGGGGAGTAGAAGGAGAGATAGTCCTGGAAGAACCGAGGTTCGGGTCTGGGAATGACCCAGTCCGGAATGGCTTGGATTAAGGAGGGAGTGTGGACTTCTGGCTAATGACCAGTGGAATTCGGTTGAGAATGGCAGTGCTGGGATTGCCATCACTGATGCAATCACGTAGGGTCACGCTTTATGACTGCATCGCTTAGTGACAGACATTCCGGTCCCAATTACTGTCGTAATTCATAGATTTACTTTGTATTTTTAACCTCTCGATGAAATTTCTGTTGGCTGTGGATAGTCAAATGTCAGGTAGGCGTTAAATTACTTGATTTCAGGCTCAAAATCCACATCTGGGCAGTCAGGCAGGAGGGAGCCAGATTGTATGACCGTAGAACAGCTGGAATCAATAATCTTTTGGTTCTTTTAAGCTTTGTTTTGCTCACTTAAGGTGCAGTTAAGGGCTCGTTCCAGTTAACTTTTTCTCAAGTTTTCTTAAGAACAATAAGGAAATGGTTTTCTGCGGCTTTTTCCAGAATTTTTTTTTTCTCAAGCATTTCGAGGTGTGTGGTCCAGCTGAGCATACATTTTAAGAAATTGGAAGCCTGCTCTATTGTTAAATATCCAAGAGAATTACAAGCCGTATTGGAATGCGCAGGTTTTTGTGGATTGTGGCCGTATTAATGCATTCCCTCTCTTTTTCCCCTCCCTCTTCTTGCAACTTCTTAACAGGATGTACAAGTATACATCCAAGCGCTTCAAGACTCGAGCAGAACAAGAGGTGAAGAAAGCAGAGCATATGGCTCGGATTGGTGAGTCCCCGAAAAGAAAGGAATGGGAACCCCTTGGAGCAGGAATGGGGAGCTAAATCAGATAGTTGGATTAATTAAACCAAGTGCACTGTTCTGATCCAGGCTTCCTTAGAAAGCAAGAAGCAAAGTCTTGGTCCCTGCAAACCCCTTTTATTTACATGACTGTGAATTCCTTTCATTCACAGTCGGCAAGGCTTATTAAACAGTCTTTCAGAGGAATGTTTAGCCACAAGAACCTTATCTCGCTTAGAGAGCTGCCAAATAACTAGTTTCCAAACGCAGGGCAAGGCAGAACTTGGCACAGTCGCTTAAAGTCACACACAGAACTTTCCACTCTTGAAACGAACGAAGGAACGAATTGTTTCCNGAGAGAGAGAGAGAATAGAGCCCAGAAAGAACAAAAAAAAGCAAGTTGAATAGTATAATCAATAGGGGAAGAGAAGAAATTAGCTCAATCTTTAGCTCAATACTATCAAACTAATCACTGAGGCTGCATTGTTATTACTGTTGATCTTCTCATCGTTCCTATCCCGCCTGTGGTTTGAATCTTCATCTCGGTGTTAGCTGAAGATCCCCTAAACCCGTGTATGTTTTTATCACATTGCTGAGCTTTTTTTCTTCTTCTTCTTCTTCTTCTTCCTTCCTCTGACAGGTGTGAAGCTCTTGAGCAGAAGCAGAAGGTTCCCCTGAGCTTCTTGAAAAAAGAGAAAACGCAGGAAGATAAGCAGAAAGAGCTGACGGATAAAATTCGCCAGCAGCAGGAGAAACTGGAGGCCTTACAGGCAAGTTGGCACGCTGGACTCTTAACATTCTTCAGACTTTAAATACCGTCATGTTCAGCGGCTTCATTCCACCAAAGTATTTGCAGATGTTTACTGTCGGAGCTCAGTCGTCCATCCGCGTTTCTACAAATTCTGCTACAAAATCTGTTGACTCTACACTAATTCAGAAGCATATTGTTGTGGCCTTGTCGGCTGCCAACCCCTCCATCAACCGAATCACAGCAGGTGGAGGCGTGGGATTCAGGGTCAGCATCAAGGCAACCTGGGAACTCCGAGGGGGAAGAGGGAATGGAGCTGGCAGAGAGAGGGGTGGGGAGAGAGAGAGGCGGAGCTGGGCTGTCCATCAGCCCTCAGATGGAGAGTCAACAGCCCCCAGGTCTGGAGGTGGCTGATGAAGAAGAGGAGGAACAGCCGGGTCCAGTGCTTGATGCATGGATGCACAGAAGAGAGAGGAGAGGACAGCAGTGGAAATCTATGAGCCGGTCAGCATCAAGGCAACCTGAGGGAAAAGGGAATGGAGCTGGCAGAGAGAGAGAGTGGCGGAGCCTGGGCTTCCGTCAGCTCTCAGATGGAGAGTCAACAGCCCCCAGGTCTGGAGGTGGCTGATGAGGAAGAGGAGGAACAGCTGGCTCCAGTGCCTGATTAGTGAATGCGTAGAAGGCAGAGGAGAGGAGAGCAGTGGAAATCTGTGGGCCGATCAGCATCAAGGTAATCTGAGAACTGTGAGGTGGAAGAGGGAGTGGAGCTGTCGGACAGACAGACAGACAGACAGAGACGGAGCCTGGGCCATCCATCAGCCCTCCAATGGAGCGTCAACAGCCCCCAGATCTGGAGGTAGCTGATAAGGAAGAGGAAGAACAGCTGGGTCCAGTGCCTGATGCACAGATGTCAGAGGAGAGGAGAACAGTGGAACTCTACGGGCTGGTCCTCGGGACAGAACAGTCATCATTGCTAGCAAAGCCTCACCCTAGCTGTGGGGATAAAAGGCAGGGGGCGGAGATGAATAGATGTGGCAGACAGCTATTTATCTTCCGACTGGACTTGTTAGCTTGTGGTGAGAAAGAACCTTTTTTACCGGGGCTGCCGGCACCCCTAATAAAGGAACCATTGATTTAACTTCAGAGGCTTTGCTGTGTTTAGGGAGGCTGGGTCAGAACACCTATGAGCATATCTAAGAGTACTTTAGAGGACCACTTTGGTCTAATGCTTGAGGAGCCAGGCTAGAACCCAGGAGACCCGTGAGTTCTAGTCTCACTTTTAGACAGGGAAGTTGCCTGGAGGACTTCGAACTAATCACTCTTCGCCAAACCCACAGACAGGTTTGCTGTTGGCGGGGGAAGAGGAGGGAGGAGTATTCTGTGTTTCCACAGCCTTGAGTTAAAACAATAAAGACGGGGTGAAAAAAAAATAAATGCATAACTTTATTCCACTTGCTCTGTCCAGAAAACTACCCCGGTGCGTTCTCATGCTGACCTGAAGAAGCTCCCTCTGGAGGTCACCGCGCAACCGATGTTAGAGGTACGTCCCCTCCTGCCGCTGCTGTTTACAGAATTGCCCTCCTCCGTTAGACCAGAAGTCATCCAGTTTAGTCCTCTGCTTACAACGGCGGTTGGGGACCAGGTATTTTCATCGCTAGGTATAATTTGGCTGTAAAATACAAGCTCGCACGGAAATCTGTGGGTGGTTACACAGGAAGAGGCAGGATACCCGAGCAAGGAGCACAGGGGATACCACCGATAGTTGCTACAGTGCATAGTTACTGCGGGGATAGAGATGCTGTGGGCAGGCACTGTGAAGCTGGAAGTTGTTACCGGCACTACAAAGGCCCACGGAGGCTTCGATAGACACTACGTCCACAGTGTGTGGATGGAGGCAATTGCTACAGAGTGTGTGCATGTACAGCAGTGGTAGTCAACCTGGTCCCTACCGCCCACTAGTGGGCGTTCCAGCTTTCGTGGTGGGCGGTAGGGGTTTGCTGTAACTCTGCTTTATAAATTTTATAAAGTAAAGTTACTTCCCTACTTTACAAATCACCATTACTGTGGAACCGGTGGGCGGTTAGAAATTTTAACTACTAACAGAAATACAAAAGTGGGCGGTAGGTATAAAAAGGTTGACTACCCCTGCGATAGATAGATGGATGGATGGATGGATGGATGGATGGATGGATGNGTTAACCAGCTCAGTCAATTGGTGTCAGATGTCTCCCTTGTGTGAAAGCTGGCCTTGGGTTATTTCCTGCTGTGCTGCTCAGTCAATTTGGTTTCTACCATCTTGTATATATTATTTTGTTCTAGACAATTAGATTTTATTGTCTCGGTGACTAGGTTTGCAGATGTCTGTATGTGGATCAGCGGTGAAGGGTAGATGTTTTCCTTTTCGTTTTATGGATAAATTCCGTTGCCGATATTGGTTGTAACTTCATCAGCTGTATAAACTTGGTGGTAACTTTATCCACTCCATCGGCTGTTGCAGCCCTTTGCTTTGGCTTCTGTTCCAATTTTAGGAGGTCCCATTCATTTCCTCCTGTGTGATAGGCTGATCTAAGCTGTGCGTTGTTTTTACTTTTCCCCGTTGCACCGTTCCGTGTGCCTTCGACATTGAGTCATGCTGGCCACATGACCACGGAGACGTCTTCAGACAGCTCTGGCTCTTCGGCTTAGAAACAGAGATGAGCATCGCCCCCTAGAGTCGGGAACGACTAGCACATATGTGCGAGGACAACCTTTACCTTTACTGCATTCTAACCAGTGCGTCACCATTGCAGTAGAGTAGAGTGTAGTGTCCTATAGTGTAGTGTAGTGTAGTGTAGTGTAGGTGTAGTGTAGAGTAGAGTAAAATAGGGTAGGCTAGAGTACAGTAGATTAGAATTAGAATATGGAATGGAATGGAATAATAGAGTAGAGTAGGGTAGAGTAGAGTAGAGTAAAATAGGGTAGGCTAGAGTACAGTAGATTAGAATTAGAATTAGGAATGGAATGGAATAATAGAGTAGAGTAGAATAGAATAGGGTAGGCTAGAGTACAGTAGATTAGAATTAGAATTAGGAATGGAATAATAGAGTAGAGTAGAGTAGAGTAAAATAGGGTAGGATAGAATACAGTAGATTAGAATTAGAAATGGAATGGAATGGAATAATAGAGTAGGGTAGAGTAGAGTAGAGTAAAATAGGGTAGGATAGAGTATAGTAGATTAGAATTAGAAATGGAATGGAATAATAGAGTAGAGTAGGGTAGGGTAGAGTAGAGTAAAATAGGGTAGGCTATTGTACAGTAGATTAGAATTAGAAATGGAATGGAATGGAATAATAGAGTAGAGTAGAGTAGAGTAGAGTAGAGTAGAGTAAAATAGGGTAGGCTATTGTACAGTAGATTAGAATTAGAAATGGAATGGAATGGAATAATAGAGTAGGGTAGAGTAAAGTAGAGTAAAATAGGGTAGGATAGAATACAGTAGATTAGAATTAGAAATGGAATTGAATAATAGGGTAGGGTAGGGTAGAGTAGAGCAGAAAAGAAAAGAAAAAAGGAAGGAAAAGAAAATAGACTTATATACCACTTCACAATGTTTTACCTCTCTCAGCAGTTTACAGAGTCAGCATAAGGCTCCCAACTATCTGGGCAGTTCTAGTCGGAAGTCGGGGATTACTTTATAAATTCTCAGTGAAATTCTTAGTCTTGATGGAGAATTTTGGGTT